GCTAGCTTTTTGTGGCTGCAAAGCTTTTGCTGCGTCCGAATTACTAATTAGCTTGCGCTAGCCAGAGCGCAAGCGTCAGTGGGAACAGAGGTTGAAGTTAGCTGTTTCAATAGGCACATGCATAATTGCCTATTGAATTCTTGAAGCAGCCCATATTTCCCATGTTCTGCCCGATCCGACTATACCCACCGCTGTTAACGAGGCTCTCAAAGCAAAATACCACTATTTGAATCGTGCTGGTAATATATTACAATACGTAACAAATCACATGGTCTTTGTTTGAATGACATATTAGCCGATCATATGACTAGCCTAATTCCCCGACGCTTGTAGTTGTAGGTACGGCGACAAAAGAGAAACCCCTTCACACTGCGAACATGTTTTCTATGTGACTAACGTGTACAACTTGTCACGGTTGTCTTTTATGCTTTCGTGTAAGGGAAATTACCGGGCGTGATATGAAAACGTTCACAAATCGATTCAGTTCTTTCAGAAGAAAATTACTGCTTTTCAAAGATCATCCATACTTTTGTTGATAAAATTAGCTTCCTTGTTTTCAACTATATACCCGCGTAATGTTGAGGGAAGATTTGGATGTAACAATAATTATTGTATGAACGATCCATTTTGGATCTTGGATGTGTTCAAAGTATGTGATTGACCATATTTGTTGAAGATATTAAATGTCATTTTAGACTTCAATTTGGGATACGGTAGTTCAGCACTTTCTCAGGAACGGAGTACGACATTAGGCATGATTTCTTTTTTAATGTGAACTCTAGCTCATATCTATGCAGCATATGAATATGAGCAAGACCCTAAGCAATGTTTAGGCGAGTAGCATGGAGCGTTAACAGTCAGTACATGACAACTTGTTTATCTCAGCACAACTGTCTGGAGATACTACTTGTCAATGGGGAAATTGTTTTATTGCCGTTGTTTAGGCGAGGAGAATAGTCTTCACGCCTCCTGGAAGCTTTCCTTGTTGGAATGCCGGGCTTTATTTCCATTTGAGAAAAGACTCCAGAGCCACGATTATAGTCTTTATTCAAGTCGAATTTCCCCAGCGTGTTGTTTGAAAAGATTCGCTGCCAGGCTAATTAAATGAGGCGTCTCGCCACAGAGAAACGACGCCTTTCAGTACTCGTCAGTGTGGGAAAATCACATTTGGACATATAAAACAGCGCTGGATTAAGCAGACAGCCAGAATTTTAATTGCAATGGTGTGAGAATTAGTGTATTGGTTGCTTTCTAGTCGTGTCTATGGAATATGGTTGAAAATCAGATCTGATCCATTAACAATGGATATTACTTTTAGCGCAAGCAATATTGCATAGATTAGGCTTTCCTTCTGTGCTTTCTCAATAAATATGTTTAAAAGCTAAACATATCATGTCAAATTCCTTAACGTCAATGTTCAGTCGTTAAATGTCCATCAATACTCTGAAGCCTTATATCATTGAAACATGTTTCTAAGCTGATGGCAAGAAAGTGTTTATAAAGTTGTTTGTTTTTTATGCATGCTTTGTTAAATTTAAATACCTCTGCACTGTCAGATGCGGCTTATATCATTTATCTATTGTGACAAAGGGCTAACAAATGAAGAGAAATTTTCATTCCATTCATTATATAGGCCTATAATTATTCCTGGAAAGTGTTGCCCTCAAAAGAACTTCCCAGGGTGTTTGTTTTGCTCGACAGAGGGGGTACACGGGTTGCATGAATGGCCTCTTTTCAAGTTAATTTGATTATAGGTTCTTGATATTTATAGAGCCAATCATGGTAAAAATGATAACTTCGTCTCCATTGTTAACTGCATGGTCAAGCCACGCATTTTCGTTTCATGACTTCCAATGATGGGTTAACGCTATGCATTTATAATGCATCGTTTACTACAGTAACATGCCTGATTGTTTCCTCTATAAACACTGCCTTAAGGGTTTGCGAAGCTAAACGTCGTGTTATTGACAGTTCACCGCAGTGGGCCACACTGTGCGCGTTCGATTGCCGAGTGAAACATGGCGCTTCGTCGTACACAAATTTAGAATAATTGCAGATTTGCTGACACACATCATGGTGTGGTGCGGTGTAGTGTGGTGTGGTGTAGTGTGGTGTAGTGTGGTGTAGTGTGGTGTGGCGTAGTGTGGTGTGGTGCGGTGTAGTGTGGTGTGGTGTTGCAAGAGTCACTTATTTTTTTGTGACGCGAGTCGAGTCATGTCATTGTAACGTAGTGATTGGAGTCGAGTAAAGTCATCAGGCAAAAATGCCGAGTCAAGTTTTACCTCCAGTCATTTCGGGTGACAAATATTTTTTAGCACAATACGATAAATAAAAACAAGAGCGAGGGTCTTTTTTGGCATTTATAGATTTACTTCAGAGATACTTCGTGTGGTCACGCCACATCTTACTCGTGGCAATAACATGAACATTTGAAATTGGCACTATATTTTTGCAGAGAAGTTTGCTTTAATTTCTAGGACACATCCCAGTAACTTTTAATCTAGTGGGGTCTTCTGACGAGGGATTCAAGTTGAGTCGAGTTGCCAAAAATGGTGACTCGAATGGGACTCGAGTTGTGTCAGTTGACCGAAGTCATCACAACTCTGTATACGGCATGGCATGTTATGGCATGGTTTTCTGAAAGTTAAAAGCAGCTGTAAAGCCAACAGAAGAAAACACGTGTTTCAGGCATGTCAATCGCTGTTAGTACGTTACCGCTTTTTGGAACGTGCTGGCTCCTGAAATGTATCAATAGCTTTACTTTATCACAAGTTGATATAAGTAGTTTGGGTTAGTGTACAAGACACAACATGCCCGAAAAAAGCTAAGTGACAGGCGATATGTACAGGAGGGTATGTTCATGTACACGGACAGCGAATTGGATGACCTGTTAACAGAGAATTTCTTTGACCACTAATCCCCAGCCAGAGTCGTCACATTTATTGCTGCCGCTGTTCTCAGTTCCATACGGCTGAATTCATTATTTGACCATTCCAACTGCAAACCTTAATTGAATTTCAAGGTGCTTGATCAAGCTACAGTTACTGTCTACAACTGATAAGTAGTTCGAATATCATGTGGTCCCCTTCCTTCCTGGAAGAAACGGGTCGGATCATTACCATCAGTTAATGTGATTTTTTTTTTTAGATTCTAGTTGTTAATATTTCGTCAGACAGACGTCGATGAAAAGAAACAGCATGAAACTACATCATACTGTGTAATGGCGCCAATCTATTATTAGGCCTTCAAGCAGGTTGATTGTTACTTGCCTTTTATCGGACATGGTTCACTGCGAACGAGAGCCGATAATTAGTTCTTTGTCCAAACCTAAAAACCTACCTGCGTCTTTGACTACAGACGTCAACACAAAATTACTACGCGGCGTGACGATTATATTGCCTGAGCTCGGCCAAGTTTGTCCGTCGCCATTTTGTGAGAGATAAGAACTTCTTGCACGACCGTGTTTGATGCTTGATTGTGCATGCCTTTTACTTGTCTGATACTATCCCACCCAAGATCAATGGAGACCGCGAGTCTCCCAGACGTTGGGGTAGAGAGCGAATCATCCCAAAGACAACAAGGCCGCTTACCATCTCTGCTGTATTTGTCGTTGTCACCTGGGGTAGGGCTATCTACACGCGGAGTTCAAAACGATCAAAACCCGCTGACTTTACTTCCTTCCATAGTATTTAAGGATCGCTTTTCATAGACCAGTGCTCATTACTGTAAGACCAGCATTTCAGTTTGTAACTGGAAGCACCTTTTTGAAATTACCTGTGATTAGGGTTATGAGTTGGAGCAGCTGTCGTCAGTAAATCCTGGTCGATTCCTAAGCAGCCATCGTTTTGGTCCGTTTGTCAAATCGTTGAGCTACTAAATAGGAAAGCAGGAGGTTCTTCCATGGTGGGATCGCTTTCATGTTCTAAACGAGAGGAGAGAATATTGATTCGCAGTCTAACTTTCTGGCGTTTTTCATGAAGGTATACGGCCCTCGCAGAAAGAAAGTTGCACCGTAACTCTCAAGACTGCGTTCCCCTCGCTTTGCAATTACCCGTCTGTTAATGCACTCCTTGATGTTTTATTGTACGTCATATTGCAGGCCTTTCATCCGTTTAAGTAACTTGTGTGTGCAGTTTCATTGAATTTGGTTTCAGTGTAATCCGCCTTGAGCAGAAGCACCCCTTCATCGGTTGAAACGAGCCATTTTGTGGGAAGTGTTCATTTGGCTGGTAGCGACCACTGATCTCTATTAGAATAGTAGAGATCAGTAGTAGCGACTCGAAGTGCACTTCCCACCGCCGAAGGAGCCACCGTTGCTAGGAAAATTGCGCCCTCTCTTGGCCCGCTTGGGACCCCTAGCTCACGTTTTGTGATTAATAAGGAATGGTACACACTTCAGAACTCAAGGCGCTTTTTAGCACTCACTGCAAATCCGTTGGCTATCATCCTCTTGTTATTTTGAGACCGACATGTATACCAGATTTCCCTGGTAGCGCGGTTCTGAAGAATCAATTACACGCACCAGCATCTGATAGTCAGTGTCACGTTGCACATTAGAAAAGCATTGCTCATTGAGGAGATACCACGTCAAGGACTGAAATTACGCTCTACTTTCACTTTTACCCTAACGAGGCTGTTGGCGCATTTGTGGTTGCTTCCACATTTTGTGTTTTCTTCTACTGTTAATCACTCGTTGGCACACACTACTTAAAGCAAAGCCAGAGCCGACACCACCCACAAAAGACACCATCTCTCCTGCGAAAAAAAATAATAAATAAATCGGGTTTTGACGCAACCTCCAAATGCTGTCGTGCATGTTTGACGCTTGGTACACTTCTGTTAGCCATCGGGAACTTTTAAATTTCAAGTTCAAATTAATTTGCTTGACAGGTTTTGTTTCTTCATTGATCCAGGCTACAGTGTGACCATCGACAGGCTGTTTATGATTAAATCCTAACTAACTCTTGTGTTCCTCGTCGTTTTGTGTCGTCAATCCACAGGAGTGTCATTGTTCCTGTAGCTGGACCAGTAATTCCCATCTTTTCTGTCACCATGCCCGCCTACTATCACGTGGATGCGGCCAGCGACCGCATCCCCATGCAGATTGTGCGCAAGGAGACGCCGCTCTCGCCGACCGAGCGGGCCTTCATCCTGGCCGTCGAGCGAGGTGACTACGGCAGCGTTCGCCAGGCGCTGGAGGAGGCCGACATCTACTTCAACCTGAACAAGAACTGTGTGGACTCGCTGGGGCGCACGGGCCTCCTGATCGCCATCCAGAACGAGAACATCGAGATCATTGAGCTGCTGCTCAAGCACAATGTCAACGTTGGGGACGCCCTTCTCCACGCCATCGACGAAGAGGTCGTGGAGGCTGTGGAGCTCTTACTCAACTACAAAGCGCCTAAGAAAGACATACGGGTAAGTGGCTACTTTTGTAGCTCCATTTTCGACATGGAGTACGCTGAATTATATCACCTGATACCTCGCCAAAAAGTTCTAAAGTTCAGTTTTTCTACGGGTCTTTGTAAACAGCCAAATCAAAATAATTGCTTAGGAATGTTAGGCTCGAATGATCTTTTATCCCCTAAATGAATAAAAAAAGGTGATAAGTTAAAATTGGTAAAGAGACAACTATATTATGGTAAGCCTTGCCCAGTGATTTCATGATTAACTTTTGTATGGCAGAACTTTCCTGTTTTAGTGACTTCCTACGACGAATCCAATTTTTGAAGGTGGGAGTACATGTCGGTAGTACAGCGACTGTGTCTTGCGGTCAGAGTCGTAATAGAATACGTGTAAATAAATATGACACCATGACGTGTTGTGTTAAGTCCGTCTTAATGTCATCGATTCCTGTGGCTTGTCCCGCGACCGTCGCTTTCTACGTTTAAGGGAACCACCCCGTTTCCATTGCTGTGTTCCCAAGCAACGCATGCCTCTGTGTATTTTATTATTGACCTGCATCTGAACAGTCGCATCGCGAACTCTGACGTTGACAGTTTGCTTATGATTTAAAAATTGGACTTCACTAGCGCACGTCGGCATTAAGTGGAGGAAATAATGCATGAGTTCTCGTTAATAGTTAATGACGGTTGAGGCATCGTCATTATGAATCGAGTTGGCTGGTATGGCAACAGGTAGCAATGACGCATCCGCACGCCGCGCCTATGATAATTTGTCAACCGGGTCCGTGAACCGGAACTTGTAGAAGCTTATTTTAATAAATTGAGTTTACCTGGGTTATGGCATTGCACTATTAATGAATTGGTTGCCCGTTTGCTTAATTGCATATTGCATTATCTTAGTTTATCAGTTTTTTTGTGGAAGGTGATTTGAAATTACATTACAGAAATATTTAGACACTGGAGAAGAAAAAAAAAAAAGAAATATGAAAAAGGTTTACTTGTACAACCTTTTCCCGAAATGTTCATCAAAGTTAGAAAAGAAATTCTTCTTTTAGTATTCACATCTCTGGTTATTGGGGCTGACTTTACTGACTCTTCTTTTCTTATCCTGGAAATTTTAACAAATTTCCAAAATAAGATTTGACACTTCGCTTGGCAATCATAAGAAAGGTCACGTCTAGAAACGATTGCAATGTGCTTCATGAGCAGAGGTTATATGTTCTTGAAAGCTGTAGAGGGTTTGCATGACTGCCATCTTGCAGGCTAATGTTTTTGTTCCATAGGGTATGCATAAAGGAGCTTTCCCTGTGTAACACTGGCACTACCCTACCAGATGGCTACCACACAAAACTATTACAGATAGTGTGACTAGTTTGATTTCGCCTCTGAAATGTGCATAGATTTAAGTTTTCGAAATATTTGTCCTTTATTATTCTTTTTGATGGTCTTGCGCAGGCACGTATCCTACAAGAGCAGAATGAGTCCGACTTTACCCCAGACGTAAGCCCCGTCATCCTCGCTGCTCACCGCAACAACTACGAGATCCTGAAGATCCTGCTCGAGCGGGGCGCCTCCATCCCCAAGCCCCACAACGTCAAGTGCGGCTGCGACGACTGCATCTCCAGCATCCGGCACGACGGCCTGCGCCACTCCCGCTCCCGGCTGAACATCTACCGCGCCCTGGCCAGCCCCTCCCTGATCGCCCTGTCCAGCGAGGACCCCATCCTGACCGCCTTCGAGCTGAGCTGGGAGCTGCGGAAGCTCAGCTACCGGGAGAACGAGTTCAAGTCGGAGTACGACAAGTTGGTGGAGCAGTGCCGGGAGTTCGCCACTGACCTGCTTGACCAGACGCGGGGCTCTAAGGAGTTGGAGTGCATACTGAACAGGGACAATGAATCCTCCATTGGAGAGGACCCACTGAGCAGACTACGGCTTGCACTCAAATACAAACAGAAACAGGTCAGTGGATGTGTCAGATCCCTCAAAACACACACCATTGGAATTTCTGCAACATGACTTTTTTGGTAGGATTTACAGTATGTAAGACGCCTTTTGGCGGTAGTTTATTTTTTTAACTTTTATGTTCTCCTGGGCGGCCCGCTGTGTCTTGTGTTTGTCTTGTTGTTTGTGGAATTTCCCAAATAAATTTTATTATAAATAATGCATGGCAATTGTTTTTTCTTTTTCTAGTTTCTTTTCCTTTTTCGCATTTACGTCCTGTGGCTGTAGTCTGTTCATAGAGATATCAAAACCATTCACGGTCGTGTGGCTTTATAGCTTGTCTTATCTAATGGTCCCTCCTGAACAGATTGAAAAAAAAACCAGGAAAAACCTCCTGACCGTATCATATTGCTACAACAAAGATTTAACCTAGCACCAGATCTGCATTCAGACTATTGTATTACGTCTCATGGGCACGTGTATCAGTTGAAGGCATTGTAGTTTAGTTCCCGAAAAGCAATCGTCATCTAGAATTTAAGAGACACTTCAGATTTCTCATTGAACATAGATGGCACGTTACATCAGATGAGATGTTTTGAAAAGAATCCAGTTTTATGTACTTCCCCCATGAACATCTATAAAACCGTACTGGCTGGCGCGGGAAGTTTGCCTGATGCTACAAAAACGACATCTCAAGGTTTCCTTCCATCTATAAAACGCTGTCTACCCCTGAGACCTTTAGATAAAGTAATAATCAGGTTTACTGGCCACCTCTCGCTCAATAATTCCTTCGGGGAGTGGTTAGGGGTTTGAGGAAAAGCAAACCTCGGTCCCTTTCCTCGTCTCCAAGCCAGCGTGCACAAATTGGATGAGAACCCACGACGGTGATATGTGCACCCAGTCGGTGATATGAACGTTTCAGTAAAAGACGACTGAGGTTGGGCCCTTCCTCGCGGGTCAAGGGTTCGCGCGTGGAGGCCACGGTTCGATTTCCGATCCAAGGCCGGTGCATGTACGACGGTTCACCTGCTCTCCCTTCCTCCCGGGGAATCTCGCCCGTTCCGGCCCGTCCCCGAGGCATCTTGTCTTCTCACGCAGGGCAAATTGCATCCTATTCATTAATACCACGAGAGCAATCCAGTCTGCCCGTTTTCCGGCGCTTGGCAGTACGCCTAGAGTTGATTACGGCCAATCATTCATGGCACCGCCTCGCTTGTCTTTGCTACCGGGGAAAGTACAGTGGGTAATTTGGAAACCTGATTTGGAGACCCAAAACAGCCATTAACCCAGATGTTAAGAGGGAATTATTATTTTTTTGAGACGGTATGTTTTCACGCCATAGAGCAAGGCAATAGACCACATCGTGAGAATTTGACACGTAAGTTACCGTCGGGCTTAGCTACTGGGTTCCGTTTTGCGTCTTTTCATTAATGCCAACATAGTACGTTGTACACTGTACTATATAAAATGATTTTTGTTTTCAAAATTCGCTGGAATTAAAAATTTGCGCACTTGTTATTGCTTTTTTGCATATGGTTAGTTATTCATGAATGTGTTTAAGGTGTTTTGTTTAATTTGTAAAACTCTGCTCGGACATGCTGGTTCGCAGCATAACTTGATTGACGATTAATGACACAAATAGGTCTTTTGGTCCTCTATAAATTCCTGGCAATTGACGATAAAATAAGTTGTCGGTGCAGCTAAATGCGTGGCGTCGAGGATGTTGGTCATGGGGGCTATTGTTTTGCCTTTTACGTTGTTTTTCGTTACCCTGAACTCCCTTGCTATGCGGCAGTTGGTTTGCAGAAGAACAAATCGATAAACCATTATTGTTGAGAAAGTATTGTCACAACACACACAGTTTCCCGCTGTATGTTGGAAAATTGCTTGGTACAAGCAAGGATGATGCAAAACAACATACATTATGAATGAGACGCCGTGTTTATTCATGCGTGACAACTGCAACTCTCTTAATTGTATCTTTGGAAATTGACTGTATGCAGTGGCAATAGAAAGACAAAGAATAATCGTGAATGAAAGAATAATGACTAAGTAAATGTGATTTTGTTCTTTTCTTAAAAAAACAAATCCATGATTTTACCGCAGTGACATTCTCCGTTTTCGTCTTTTTTTCTTTTTTTTTTTAATTTTGTTTATTCGCTGCTCAAGTTGTGGATGTGTAAAAAGAAGTATTGGAGCCTCTCCCCCAGAAATATTAGGGATGCTTTGAATTATGAGGAAAATGAAATCAGGGAATATTATTTATAAATTTAAATGTATTCCAAGTTATTCTCGCTTTGTAAGTCAAGAGAAAATAAAAGTAAGGAGTAGAGTGTGCCAGGGCCAGGGTATAATGTCGGGACATGGCTACGGACTCATTCTCACCTTTTTTTCTATTTTGATTTTTTCAAATCGAAACTAGGATTTTAGGGATATTGGAGGAAAATAACAAAACAAAAAGGGCCTCCAAAGGTGCGGGTACTCATTTTGATAGGGTGTCCAAGCTGTAGGTCGGGAGATTGAGCCTCAACTCCATCGAGAATACCGTAATGGCGACTGTGCGGTAACAGCATCTTTCTCAGAGGAAATTACTGTTAATGGTCTCCTATTTTAGTCCTTTTGTGTGGCGTGTCGAGATCTGCCCTCTCGTCTGCAGGATTATAAGCCGGAAAGCGAGATCATCATAATTTGTTCTGGATGGAATCGCCATCATATGCCTTAGTCTGCGTTGATCAGCCGCCAGTGTCCGTATTTTATGGGGCCATCAGAGACGGCAAATGGCTCCGTAAAGTGACATTGTATGTGAAATATTTCGTTTGTGGTGCATGTTGTTTGGAAGATTCTCAACTGACATCAGGTTGACATAGCAGTCGAGGATGCTCGGGGTTGACTGAGCCTAGAGGGTTTGCATGGCTGCCATCTTGCAGGCCAGTGCTTTTTTTCCACACTGTATTATGTACAAAGGGGGTTTCCCTGGGCAACAAGAGAAGTGCCCTGCAAGATGGCTACCACGCAAAGCCCCAATATAAGTTCGTATCAGGACTGGTTGTTGTATTCAGTGTCCTTGAAGCTGGCAAAAACAAGACCGGGAGCTACGGTGATACCTCCGTGAGTTCAGTAATTGGACAGGATAGTGTCATCAAGTACCAAACGGGCACGGTTGCGGTCTTTTACGACAATGTAATTCAATAACGCATCGGTGGGAATACAGGCGATTTGCCCTTTCTTCTTGTCACTGGTTGTTGCATATGAAATTCACTCATCATATAGAGCTTGTTAAACCACGGTCAAATCTCGAAAGCAATAAAGCACATCCCGAACCCAATTAAACTAGACGAATTCCAGGAATAGCAAATATTGCCTCTTCCTACCACTCGAGTGGGGGGGGTTGTCTAAATGCAGGAGAAATTTGACACAGAAGTCGAAGAAATCATCCTTTTTGTCAGACCTGCCTTAAACAAGTCGTCGATGGCACATTATGAGGCTTACCTGTGACCATCTGCTCGATTTAAAGAGCTGTCTCGGGCCAATTTTAAATCGTGTTGTCCCTGTAACTGTTGGACTTTCCCATGACGGCGTGAGCTTTAATCCGCGAGAACAGCTGGTCTCTGCCTGGGAGGCAGGTTCCGTTCCTGAAACATATCTTTTCTCTCCATGCCGTTATGGATGCTGCGTTTTCTGCGAAACGGAGATTTTGTTTATTAACCCAGCCATAGGAGATTCACTTATTGACCGATCGAAACAGATTGTGTGCTCCAAACAAGGAATGTTTGGCCAAATATAATTATACCGATTACGGTCCTGGGGCAATATTGGCCTTAATTTAGAAGTAATTCAGAGAAGCTCCACTTTCAACGCGACTTTGCTCTGAAATGTTCTCTTTTCATGGCTGTCATTGACGGTTGTAACTGATGGCCTCTCCGGGTACAATCCTGCTGTTATTCGACAGTCGTGTCGATTGTGAGCGTGGGTGCATTTCGTGGGCATGCATGTTGATCAGTATTCAAATGAGCATGATTTAAAACCCAAGTGGTCTTATGACCTAGGGCACGATTGTAGAGAAGAAAATGGCTTGCAAGGTTACAGTTATAATTATTATTCCTCTGCATGGCATATAAATTTCCCAATCCCGTTGACTTTGTCTGCTTGTGTGGTCATCCCCGCTAATGCTGGCTACGACAGTTCTTGGTTATTCAGATTGTGCGCAATTTCCTTAGTTGTCTAATGCCACGCTGTTCTTCACGGCTCCTCACCTTTCAGTATTCCATTCACGATGACAAATTCCATTTTATACGTCTTGACTTTGGAATTACTCGTGTATGTGTGTAGACATTTTGGAGAAGGTTAACATGAAACTTGCTACTGCCTAAAAGTTTACACCAAATTCGTAAAAGCGTAGAAACTGTTCATTTTCAATTTGCATAAATGAATCACAAAATACTTGTTGTTGCAAGTTTACATAGCCAAGAGTATACATGTATGGCTGCTGATGTCACGTACTGAAAAAGGCTTTTTCCTATTCAAACACCCTTGGAAATGGCAAGCAGCAGTGACGCAACTCGGTAATATTTCTATAATTTTGATATTTTTTCCTGTTTGGTAAATGGATGCAATGCCTGCCCTTCGTGCCAATCTAATTACATGAAGCAACGCTCATAGGCGCCGGTACGTCTATGTATTATGGGTCGTTCCTTCGGTGACGTAATTAGGTAGGCATAGGACCGGTGTTAAAAGAGATTAATTGTGGAGGGACTTAAAATCTCGATCAAAAATCGTCCTATTCTCAAATTCAAAATAACCTGAGTAACAGAACCCCCTGAAAATCTTCGCGTATGGCATCAAAGTTCAACAGTTTTCAATAATCAAGACTTTTTCCTTGGGGATAAGCTAAAAAACACGCACCCGTCGTTCTTTTCCGCAAAGTTGTATTCGCCGTTGAAACGTTTATGAAAATGATTCTCCCACTAAACATTTTTATTTCAATTCGCATGTGGCAGTAAATTGTCGTAAATGGATTAGATTTAGATCATAGTGCCAGCAACTGTTCATCAACAGGTACTGATTGTTACTGACGCGTGCAGCGTCGGAAAAAAGAGGTGAAATAGGGATGACACGTGACAAAATGAAAGCTCAACTGAAAACGGGAAACCTGCTAGTTGGGTCGCATGAGGGCGACATTCAAACTACTTGTACTCAGAATTATCAGGGATGATTAATAAAAGCGCGCGTTAATTAATAGCAAAGTAAGAAAGCCCATTAGTGCCATGAAGCACACTTTAAAAAACTATATATTTTTTAAGTTCCCCGCCATTACATGATTTTTTTCTTGCGAAATATATTTTACCAAACGTCATATTTACGAGATTTATGTTGTTTCTCAATTGCGTTTAAACGGTGTCAGTGTTAAGAAACATTGTTTTAGTTTGGAAAAATAGGTTTTACAAAATACTGTTTTCAAGCACTTGGTTTAAGAGATACATTTTCCCAAGTTTGTTTTTGGAAATTTTTTTTTTTGATAAATGCTTATTTCTATGAGATCTTTAATTGTTCAGAAACATTCGTTCTTAAGAGATTTACTTTTTCAAAATCTTTCACGAGATCAAATTGGCAACAGAATCTGAGCCCTCGAGCCTACGATGCAAGTTATGTTCACCGGTTCATTGTGATTTGACAACAATGAAGTTTATTTTATAAGACACGATTGTGTACCTCATGAACCTCATACCTCGTAAAAATAACGAGATATGAGGTTCTTGAAACTTGGAAATATATATATCACAGAAACGGTACTTCATGTCACCAGGAGCTGTCATAGCAAAGAATATTTACTGCAAGTTGTTTGCTTTGTTCAAGCTTTTTAGTCAAAGTTCTGAAGATTACGAAAACTACATTATCTCTACATTTATGCATTTGTTTCTGTGGTAAGTAAAATGTGCAAAGAAAAGGTGTATTTACCTTTTTAACAAGACCAAGTTTGTGTGCTGATTGGCCTTGAAGACTGTGTGTTGGTGCTTGCAGATTCCCTAATATGTAGAAATTCCCTAATGTAATGTGTGACGACCTCTTGCCTGGATGTTGACTTCTGTTCTGTTCTCGTCTCCTCGCAGTTTGTAGCTCATCCCAACTGCCAGCAGCTGATCGCCGAGGTATGGTACCAGGGCCTCCCGGGTTGGCGGCGCCAGCACTTCACGGTGAAGCTCCTCATCAGTTTCTTCGTTGGGCCTGTCCTTCCCGCTGCTGTCCTTGATGTACCTCTTGGCGCCCCGGACCCGCCTGGGCAAGATTCTTCGTCTTCCCTTCCTCAAGTTCATGTGCCACAGTGCCTCCTACCTCGTGTTCCTGGTCCTGCTTCTCATGGCTTCGCTACCGGACTTGGCCGGCCAGAAGCCCAATAAGCGGGTCAACGAACGAGCCCCGCCCCCGTCTGACATTGAAATCTTAATCATCTTGTGGGTATTAGGTAAGTCCATGTGGTGCTTGTGCTTAATACAAAGCCGTATGAAACAGAACGCCAAACCTTTCTTGTCACACTGCCAAGATTTAAAGCGTGTTTAGGATGAGGGGATTTGAGAAAGACAGTTCACCAGCTGGAAAAGGTAGAGCATTCATTTTGGCCACTCTGACCAACTTTCTTGAAAGAATGATCAGTGAAATCGTGTCATTTGAGGCATCGTAATTAACCGTTACTGAGTGCTGCGATATTGGATATGATGTTTTAACACCCCCGACAAAGCCAAGGGTGCTATTTGTCATAGGGGGTTTCAGTGACATCATTCGCACATTGCAGACGTCAATAATTGTTTTGTTCTTCCTCGGTCTGAAATTCTTTGTGATGTTTCCCGTTCCCCCAAGTCTCTTGACTTAAGTTGAAACAACGTGCGTCGTTGTCTGTTGCTATGCAGAATGTTGTAACAAAGTACCGAATTCGGGGTTGCGTCTTTTTAATTGCATTGGTCGCCCGTGTTTACTGGAAACCAGTATATTTGTATCTTTACAAGTCTCGAAGTACGATTTGCGTGTTGTCAACAAGCCTTGTTTCTGCTGAAAAGTGACTTGTACCATTTCTCCGTTTCCCCTTTCTGCGTGACTGATTTGTTCTGCTTGCCGTTAATTTTATTCCAGGTTATCTTTGGGCAGAAGTGAAACAGTTATGGGACATGGGTTTCAAGCAGTACCAACGTGACTGGTGGAACTCGCTTGATTTCGTCACCAACACCTTGTACATAACTGTCATCGGGCTTCGGATAACTGCATATGTTAATGTAAGTAGTAATTCGTAGTTTTGGAAGAGTGACACAGAAAAGAAACCCTTGTCACGCTGCGAGATTTAGCAATGTACTCTCTCTTTTGTAGAGAGAGAGGTTTGTGATACGGGACCAGATGGTGCACGCTAAGTTTCCAGACTGACAATCTTTTGTCTGAATGATGATTTAGATCCCGGATCAACTCACTCTGGAAATCTTGTCAGATGCCACATTTCTTGGACTTGTCAAAATGTGTCCCCCAGTTGAAATCAAGATGGTAGCCAGGTTGCCAGGCTGCAATGCCGTCTTACATTTCTGCACTTTTTTAAAAGCCTGAACCTGACTTGTCTCATAACTTCCACTGGTGTTTAACATCGTCACTTTCTGTAAAATAACTAGCACACCTGGGGCGTCAGTCTATGCGATAAAAACCGTCGCAAATCAATACAGGGCGTCTCCCTGTGAGCACGTAGGTTCAGAAAACCGTTTCAGAAAAAAATGGGTGTGTTTGAATCCTTGAGGCCTTATTCCAGCCGATTCCTTATTTTAACAATCGTCATATTGTCATCCCTTCGCAGTTACGGGTGATGGGAAATGAAAACCACGGGGACATTGACCTCAAACGTCAGTACTGGGACCGGTGGGACCCCACGCTCATGGCTGAGGCAACGTTTGCTGTGGCAAATATTTTTAGGTAGGTAGAATTCCTACCAGGCTGCAATCCTATCAGAGCCTGGTGTTGTAACACTGCTTAACACCCAATTTGGGGTGTTGAGAGAGTCCCTGTCTGTTTCACGGAGACTCTTAGGTAATATGAGCAAAAACAAACTCAAGCTGAAAGGTATTGTTTGTCATGCGCAGTGTACCCAAACAATAACTGATGAACTTCTTGTTGGAAGCATTCTTGGTTTAAAAATGATTACGGGCCTGACCTCTCTGTGAAATTATTCTCGCTGGCAAGCTGTCATTTTAAAGAAAACAATAAAATGTGGCTATTCGTCACATCAGACACACGCAGTTACAAATTTTCTTCGTTTCAGTGCGTGACATCACGTACCTGCATTTGAATGAACGTGAGAACGTGTCCCAAATACTGAATTCAGGCCCAATTCAGGACATGACTCCGCAACTTTTGATTGTAAAACAAACATTTTTTTTCTCGGAATATACAGTATTGACGGGGATGAAATATCATGAGGTTTGTTCTTAGGCACCGTACTTTAGAACTCGAGTAATTTTGTTGCTCGAAAGGAACATAATGCCTAAATGATAAATGACGGACTCAACCTTTAAGTATTAGCGTTATTTTCTTCTCAAGTAAGCACAAGTTTCGTGCTAACTAGAAAGCACTTCTTTGAAATTGGGCCTGTTATCGTCGAGTAACCAATGTCGTTACACAGCTACAGACTTTGCATTGAAAAGAAAACTATTTCCATGTGATTTTGCATGCAGCATGTTGCGGGTCGTCTACTTCTTTACTGCCAATTCCCAACTAGGCCCTCTGCAGATCTCCCTGGGCCGGATGGTGGAGGACATTGTCAAATTTCTCTTCCTGATGGCGCTGGTCCTCTTCTCCTTCGCGGCCGGCCTGAACCAGCTTTACTGGGTGTATCAGGAAGAGATAGATCCGGGCATGTGCTTCGGGGTTGCGTGTCCAGAGCCCAATAATGCTTTCACAGAGTAAGACAGTGCAACCGGATAGGTCAATGATAACACTGAAATAATCATGTAACCTGCCTCAGCTCATGAGACGGGAACAAAGTTTTCAAACTCTATTAGAAATACCTGTGCAGTTTACATTTACTAGTATTCTAACAAAATCTACCAGAACCGATCTAGAGAAAATACATTTGTAGTGTTTATGTAGTATTTCTCAGGCTGTTAAAGCTAAGCAGTGTGCGTGTACATGCGTGTCGTTGGAAATTTGTCTTGCTTTTGCTGGGAAGGTGTTCAGTTGTATTTATGCTAACTTTTTTGCGTGACAATTGTGAACTTATAGTTTAGATAAGGGCGTAGCCCCTTCCCAATCCAATGTGTCTTTGCAATAGGGTTTATTTCGAGACATTTAGCATTGATACCAAATTTGTAACACCTTGTAATCTGGGGGGGGGCCGTTTGGATATAAATGGGGGGCCTCTGATCACAGTTGAGCTTTCTGAGGCATCTTTTTTTGCCACACTCAATAACCTTCTCTTTTTTCCGTCCTCTTTTTTTGTAGTGTCTTCCAGACATTGCAGGCGCTGATCTGGGCCATTTTTGGCCTGACCGATCTGTCCAACACTAAGGTGAAGACGGAGTTTGGCCACAACGTGACCGAATTCATTGGGGCCACCATGTTTGGTGTCTATTGCATCATCACTATCGTGGTCTTACTCAACCTGCTGATAGCTATGATGAACGACTCGTTCCAGAAGATACAGGTAGGTGGCTTAAATGATCGGAGCACTTGGCTGTGTTGCAGCCGAGTTGATAAGTTTACATGGCATTTTTAATCAAACAAAAATGTGAGTTTATTGTAGCAAAATGAAGACATCGAGCATGTCGACGAAAGTTGTCACCAACTACTGCGATTCTTGAGGTTTCTGAAAGCTTCTCAATATTGTCCTTTTTGCCTCTGCAACTGCCGCCCCACTCCATGAGAAAAAGAGCTGTCATTCTGAAACTGGGTCAGATCACACTGACTTGTACTCGGAGTTCTGTTCATATTCAAAATTCAAGAGTTGCTTTTTTTGTTTTGCAAACAGACGCAATCCGACATGGAGTGGAAGTTTGCCCGGTCCAAACTGTGGATGAGCTACTTTGATGAGGGAGAAACGCTTCCTGTGCCGTTCAACATCATCCCCTCCCCGAAAAGTTTCTACTACATCGCCCGCAAAATCTACAGACTTACCTGCAAGAAGAAAGTGAAGCCAAACACAGAGAACAGGAACGTTACTAAGGTATGAGGAGTACTAAGCTGGGGATCTTGGATGGTACGGGCTCTGTGAAGAATCCCCCTAGGTCGGTGGAAAATAGAGATACTGAAGGGACTTGGATGCCATATACAAGCCGTGCGCCTTGGCACACAACGGGTCATCCGCATTCCGGTCGAAGTGTCTATGGGCCACAAAGCACTTTCTGGTATTCCACATAAGTTTGGAAAGTAGTCCCTCGACTGGTGCTTGAAGTAAATCAATGAAAGATAGCGTTGGATATTAAAATCACTGCACTGCTGTCTAGCCCTCAACCATGAATGTTCCTCGTACCAAAACAAAACATAATAATCATGTGCCCTGTCCTCCCTCCCTGGATCTCTGTTCTCTTGTGGCGTAAAGCTGAGCATAGGAAATGGAAGACTTCCAGATTAAACAAGGGAGCTTCAATGAAATTATGCATCTGGGTTATAGGGCCTACTCCCTGTCTGAGGGGATACTTTTGCTGATTATGGAATTATTTGAAAATTTAGAAATCTGGAGGGATACATCTGACCTAAGCTGATATCCTGGAATCGAATGAGATTTATATGCTGTTGCTGTTGCCTGACGATTTGGGTTGTATCTTGTCTTAATGTGGCACTGTCGAAACCCTCGTACCTACCTTCAAATAATGTTATAGAGAAACTCGTATGTTTCCATTTCAGCTGAATTTAGCGCAGAGACGAAGACTCAATGATGAGGAGTACCAAGTAAGAACAATATTGGAGACATTTGTCAACAGATCTGTATGCAGACAATGAAAATCGACTTACAACATTTCTAGAATTCTTTCTTACTGTTTTGAAGTGTTCCCAAAATCTTATTTGTTTAAAGCATTTAAAAAATATCGTGGGGACTCGATTTTGTTAGATGTACTGAAGATTGATGGCAAAGGTGCATAAATTAAGATGTCTAGAGCAGTTGCACTGATTAGAGTTCTACTTCATTTGTTGAATTGGATTCAACGGACAAGCATAATTACACCACTCCAAAAATGTTAAGGACCACTTTTTTCTTGTCATTTTTCCAAGCAATGAGTGGCGTCTAGTTCTTTCATTGTTTGTTTGTCTAGATGTGTTCTCATTGAAATAAAAATGAAAACACTTTTTGAGCAATGTAGATTGATTTTCAAATGATGTTTTATTGATTGGAACAGAATTGTGAAAGAGGAAGGGGCCCCATTGTGCCGCTTCCCTTCAATACCAAATTCGTGTAATTCAAAGCTGTTTTTTTCTGTCCTTCTCTTGACAGAAAGTCATTAAGAACCTCATCAAGCGATACCTGAACAACAGCCGCCGAGGTGAGCGGGCCGAAGGAGTCAGTGAAGACGATCTCAATGAGATTAAGCAAGATATCTCGGCCTTCCGCTACGAAATGCTGGAGATTCTTAAAGGTGGTGGGCAACAGAAGGTCGGTCCCAACGACAGGAATGGAGATGGGAGTGTCAAGAAGAAAGCCATGTCCATCGGGAGTATAGGTGCTAGTATCTCCACCACCTCGATGTCTTCCATGTCCAGTGGCTCACCCCAGCTGGAGAGGGTACCTTCCTACTTGCTCAGAAAGGGCAAGAAGAACAAACGGAGCCCGCAGCACCGAGAGACCCTGCACGTACCGCTTAAGTGTGACCCGATCCAGGAGGAGGACTACTCGCTCCCCGATTTCCTCAAGGTGAAGAACGTCAAGAACGTGGTGAGCGCCGTGAATGAGATGAAGCGATCGTCGCGGAAGCGCCGGCTGAGGGACTTGATGGGCCAGGCGAGCTCCACCAGTGCCCTCCACGAAACGCTGGACGAGAACCCGGGGGAGCCCCTGGCCGGCTCGCCTCGGAGGCTGGTCAGCCAAGTCTCGGTGGACATGAACGACGAGGAAATGGAGATGGAGGTCATGAAGGAGAGCCTGATAGAGCCCGGCTCCAACGGGAATAAAAGCACCTCTAGCGAGGACGAATCAGACGAGCCCTTGGTGAAGGGTACCAAAGAGCTGGCGCGGCGAGTGAAGAGTTTTGCTGGGCACAGTGGCCACGACAATGGAGCTCTCCACTTAGATGAGAGCGGAGTGGACGGGGTCGTGCGCTCCCCGACCCAGCAAAATAACAGTGGCGACTCCCAGAGCACCTCTGGTATTGCATCCCCAAACAATAGCTTCCAGTCCCAGGATTCGGTGGATGCGGAAGCAGGAGGCACCGCCGCCGTTGTACGAGACTCGGACAGCCCCAGTGACCCCGATGACGATGTGGATGTCAGTACTGGAATGAACGTGGCCCTAAGACCAAAGGCCAAGCAAAAAAAGTGGCCGCCGAAGCGAACCTCATTCCTATGGAGCAGCCCGCCTGCCCCAAAGGAAGGGGAGGACGTTGAAATGACCAAATTTCAGTACAATGGTTTCAAGCCGTGAGGCTTACGTGGGTCCGCTTTTCAAATCACACCTTAGTGCATGGATTTCACTCTACCAGAGGCCCAAAAATACATAACTGTGCATAGAGTTTTGCACCAAGTCAAACCTGCACCACTTTCGTTACCATTTCCCAAAGTCTCAGAGAAATTAATTAATTTTTTTTTTGCATGTTGACCTAGCTTTTACGCCCGAATATTGGCACTGATCCGAAGGATCTCTCGTTTATTACAAAAGCCTGATACAGTCGGCCGTGGTTTCATTGTTTGAATTTTGATAATTCCCTTGTAGATTTTTGGAAATCTAGAAATGGCAATTGGCATTTAGTCCCTCGAAAACAGACACACAGAATACAGAAATTAATCAAAGGGGCAAACACTCCAAAAACCAGAGAACAATGGTTATATAACTAGCAGAAGAAACATTACGAGTGGAGTGTATTTTACAGACTTTTTCATTCGTATTTGTGCGGAGTGTGTTAAGAAAAAAAGTACATAAAAGCACCTGTTTTAGGACTTGTGGAGTCAAATCATTTTATTGGAGCGAATGTGAGCAGGAGGACACAAAGAGAAGTACTTTGTTGGTGCGCGTGCCTTTTAAAAGAGTTCCATTCGTTGACATTTTGAAGTTCTTTCATCATTTCCAGTATTTATTGTTGCACCTGTCACAACATATATATTATTCTTAGATTTATTTGCAAATGTCACCCACGGCTGTGTAAATATATATACAAAATAATTAAAATTGTCAGAGAAATTGAAAAAGCCGTTTTTCAATTAACATGTATACGTGGTTTCAGAGCTTCCAGGGTTAATTCTCCCATTAAATTGTAAAATAGGACTTCTACTTTGTTCATATCAAATACGATTTAGAAACTGTAAGATAAGCACAAGTATATTTTAATGATAGCATGAATTCCTTGTGAATATGACACCTTTTTATCGATTCTCTCGACTGATAGAACACTATTGTGTTAAGAAAAATATTGCATCATGTTGTAAACCGGATGATTAAAATCAAATTTTAGAATTCTTTGGATGCAAGTTAAAGCATACATTTTTACGATTACTAGGTATGAAAGGGACGAGGGTAACGCTTGATTAATTTGCAATATTTATTTGTTGAAATGGTTTTGTCTTTTAAACGAAGAGAAGAAACACTGTTTTTTAATTAGCACATTCCTGTACTCCACTTAAAAAAAAAGTCACTTCAGATTTTACCTTTTGTAAGACTTGAATACGGCATATGCATCCCTTCGTAATGCTGTGAATGTGAATGTGCCTCAGTCAAGAGCAGTTTATTGCAGTTGCATGCAGCCGAGAACCTGCGTACTTGTGAGATTTCGGGGTTGTGTGGAGGATAAGAAAGTGGATGATTAGCTTTCTGCGAGGACTGTGTGTGTGTTCTATACTAGGAACCACCGGAGCAGGCAACACGGTTTTGCATGAACCTGTGAAATGGGCCGAACGGCTGCAAACGAATATAGTGCCACGCGGTATCGAAGAACATCGACATACGATGGCTTGATTATATGTTTTTGTTATCATAAATTAAGATGCCCTTCTGGGTATATTGCAGTAAGTCTTACTGAGATCTGATATAAAGATAGAGTTGATTCTCTGGAAAAATATAATGTCTGCAGCCTGAACCGTATCACAGCGCTTGTGTGGCCAAACCATTGTTTGCCCTGGGGTTGCACTTGACGTTTTAACATTTGTGCAGTGAGGATTCATCGAATTGATTTGACTTTATTCTATGCAGGTCTTTTCAGGTCGTTTTTAAATTATATTACCGAAATAAACCACATATTGTAACAGACACGACTTGTGGGGACGAATGGTGTCTTTTTCCTTTGCGAAAATATCTACTGAAAAATTCTTATGTAATATCGAGTTTTGTTTTCAAAAGTATTCAGACAGCTCCCGCTTTGATGTCGTTTGATTTGAAAACGTTACAGCAGGAAATGTTCAATGAGAACACTATTTTCCATTACAATCTATCACTTTTACCATAGAAATAAGTCTAATTGAACTATGGCGGACACGAAAGGAAGGCGCTGTTTGGTTGGGTAAACTTTTTTGCGTTTTCAAATTTGGTTTTGGTTTTTATTTGCTTTGATATGTGTTGTTTGCGATTTTATACTCTACCTGCCATAGTTCGTTGGCTGATAGATACACTTGAGCATTGCAAGGGCGTAGATCTGAGTTATGAATAATGATGAAGTCCACCCTTCCAGAAACCTCCAATGAGTGGAAAATTCGAATAAGCCAGGGGAACTTATTTTTTACTTTAAATATGTTAACTGTTGTTCAAACATACACGCACATCGCCACAGTTACGCCCTTGCCGACGATAATATACAGAGAACTTGATGTGAACTTTACATCTTATTATTGACCTTTGCCCTTTTGTTGATACTATGCCCCCAGTGTGAACCACACCCGTTCAGTGTTCCACTAATACGAATGTGTGTACTAATTATTTCCACGGTTTGTCATTTGATGCGCCTGTCTAGCTGTAACCGATCATTACAGGAAGAATCTATGTCGTGATCGGTGAATGAACCTCGAACTGCCAGGGTCACCAAGGCAACGTCCCCTGGGTACGAGGATGGTTCGATGGGGAGTACGAAGACGACAGTGGGTCTGGATCGGGTAACCTGCTGGAAAAGATTGCCACCGCACTCCCATGGCTTGTCAGGAATCTGCATGCCCGGATTAAAAAATGTGGGATAATCCTTCCTTGAAGCTATACACTCAAAGCCGGAAATGTCAACAAAGACAAGATGGCTTCCCATGCTTTTAATTCAACATTGAGTTTGCAGAAGCCATTTTTTCTGAAGGAAAGGTTTTTCTTGTTAACGGATCTGAAACAGGCAATATCAACATCAACTTGAAGGAAAGGTGTATAAAAGACCCTATCATGGAGCAGCCATCTCTCTAAAATACCATTCAAAGCAATGTAACCAAACTGAGGCTGAAGGTAAAAAATTGTCTTTTCCTATTTATCAATATAAGAAGTTGTATTACAATGGCCAATGGGTCTACAAGACAAACCTGGCCGCATCACAACAGAGGTCTACAGTGTTTGGCACTTATATGTCTGTCTTTATTGTTTAGTTGAAATTCTTCTTTGAATTAGTTGTACTTTTGTGTAGTCAGCCTTGATTCTAGCAATAAACTTCTTCATGCAGATGGGAAGAGCATCTCTATCCAGGGCTCCAAAGAATGAAAAATTTTCCCAAGAATGAAAAATATCCCTTCAAACCCCAGGAAATCCATAAGGTTTTCAATGGCGCAACTACGATGGAGGACACGCATCTCCCCCCCCCCCCCAGCGGAAGTCTATAATGCCCCCGGGGTGCTCCTGTCACCTCCACCTGAAACTCTGAAATGCATGCAGCCTCTGTACAAGCATAGAGCTAGGATGATGCAAGCCACACAATTTGTTTTCGGTGTCCCCGGTGAAATGTGTGCAATCACGAGTGACGTCACTGCCGATGAAGTTGATCCCAACCCGCTTCCGCACTGTCATTAAGGTTGGCGGCCATTATAGTTGTACTTTTTTTCGAATATCACGAAATATTTCTTTAAAAATCGCTTCCAGTGGTCAACTGTAAACCTGAATTCAATCTCTTATGATAGCTGAGTCCTGCGGCAGTGATTGCTTGATACGCTGGCCGTATTGAAAAATATTTGATACGGGAGCTAAGTATAAAACATTAACCAGGAAATGGGGACTTAGCAGAGTCTCTCCTCGTAAAGCCTAACAGATGAAACTCGCCGCACCTGCACGTAAAATCCCACTACCTGGAGGCGAAGATGACGTTCATTTTATATCACAAGGGAAACGATTTGACTACTGGGGCTCAAGTTGAACCTACCTGGGGAACCTAAGGACCCGAATCGAAAGATGTTAATTAGGACATACTTCAGTACATTAAGTAGTGTGTTGATTTTGACAGAGGGTTCAATGTCTTTAATAAAGGCAGGGGAGGAAACATGCTTAATTTAGAGCAAGATGAAATCATTTTCCTAAATGTTGGGTACAAAATGTCGCGGCGAGTTCCTCAGTTTCGGATTTGTCGGGATAAATATAATCGTTAAATTCAGACTTCTGAGAAGAGAAAGTTCTTGAAACCCCGTGTGCTCACGTCATGCAATACGATATACTGGCCCAGACGACCAGTAACTGCGATTTGAAATCTTTAAAAAGTAAAGTTGAGACTGACTTCGATTAAAGGACCTCAAAACTAACCTGTTGACCAGTGAGGGCCATGCCACCTGTCCTCTGCCAATTCGTTTTGGGTTCTTTAAAAATGGCAAGTCAGCGAACTGCAAGTCAAAGCTACCAGCTGTCTTAATAACATCCCCCCTTGACGAGGTTGAATTGAACGAGCATTTGAGCCAGGGGCACAGTATCAGCCACTCTGATGGAAAAGTAATGTGGCCCTGCACTTGAGGACCCCTGCAATTTAATTAAATCCTCTGGGGACAGGTGGGCGAAAGACACTTGCGCTGATCCCGCTGAGGAAACGCACTTTGTGTGCCCGTGCGGACTGAGCTCTCGGGACGTGTGCGTGAACTGCCTAAACTACATACAATACAGGCCGAAAGCCTTGTCATACCGGGGGGCCCTCAAAATTCAAATCCGTACACGAAACGGGTTCGCACCGGTATTAAAGGTGTCTTGTACGCACTGGATTTCGCATCGGGTAAAATGCAAAGGTTGTGGGTCCACACCGGTACTATAAAGGCCACGCAGTTTACGCTTGATTCACATAAAACCTGCTCCAGGATGGTTTCTATTCTAAATAACAAAACAGGCAAGGACGATTGTTCATGCAGAGATATCATTTTGTGACTTTGGACACCGAATTTCACTTGCAAAAGTATCTTCTTCGAAAAAGATGATAAAGTTATTTTCTTCGGTGATACATTTACTTTTTATTTAAAACGTCTTCATGAAAATGGCCATTCAAACATTTTCGAAACGAATAGGTATCTGGATGGATGTCATCTCTTGGTGGCGCTATCACTGTACCTCCTTCATTAAGATCGAGTATTTGGCGATCACGGTTGTTTTTGTTTTTCTCTCTCCTTGCTGGCGGGAATGAACACTCAAAGTTTCACCTGATGCGATTGGATACTCCAAATCTGACGTAAACCGTTCCTGGTTACTCTCAGGTGAGCTGGTGTCCGAGTCGTTAAACACGTAAGTCTGTTAACAACGGGCCCTTGACGATTTGCAGTCCAGGAATATCGGCTGGATGCTAAACCTTCTTCCAGTACAGTAAATGATTCGATACAAAGCTAGCGAGTAATTGATTTATATCGTGTATTTGGTGTTGATAAGCCCAATGCGTTACGTGACTTAGCATTTGCTGTAAATTATTGCCTCATAAACAATTCCTTTTTTCCGTTTTATAACTTCAGTTAAAAATATGAGATTATAAATTATCTGGATAGGATTACGACAATTGGTCGGTCGTTACATGATCTGAACAATATCGCATTTGACATTTCGAGAAAAACGCGTTCAAGTTGGGTCCGTTTTGGATGTTTAATTCCCCCCCCCCACAGTAAAAGTTTTATTGACACAGATTTCGTATTAATAAAGTAGATAGTTAAATTAATATTTGAGATTTTTTGTTGGGGGAAAAACTTAAGCACTAGGTTAAATGAAGCTCCAAAACCATATGTCACTTTATAGAATTGTTATTGTCATATTTTACGAGCGCAAACAGTGACCTATACAGATGGATCATTTTGTGAAACAAAACATTTCGATTTCTCTGTGGCTGACAGTATCTTTGTTTTGCGCATGCGGGCGCGGACCTTTTCACGTTGATAATCTTCATGTATGTGGAGCCGGAGGTTCGTTTAAAATACTTCACTGTGTTTTGTTTAAATTTTTTTCGATTAAACAGGTCTTGATTAAAAAGAACAGCACTTTGCAAAAGCCGAAGGAACTTTGAAGGGGGATTCCCATCGGGACCTCGAAAGTCACGAACTCTTATTTTTTAATTTTTAATATTCTTCAAAGTGTACCTTCTTATCATTCAAACTTGTTTTTCCACGTAGGCCTATACCCAGGATGGAATTTTTTAAGATACTTTGAACGCCTACGTTAAAAAGAATTACAATAATATAGGACCTATCGATGAAACGCATTGACCATTATCAGTTATCGTGTCTTCAGTGTATTTCAACTTATACACGTGTAGGTAAATTAAACAGTGCAAGAACAAATAGTATCAAAGTTGTCTCTCAATCATTTCAAAGGACATCGGTGACTTTCAAATGACATTAGTAAGGGAAGAAGACAAAATGTCAGAGTTCTTTAATAATCATTTTAAAGGATATTGGTGACTTTTTAATAACATAAGTGAAGGAAGTTGACCAAACATCAGAGTTGTTTTATAATCACTTTAAAGGCCATCAGTCGACAGTGACTTTTAAATGACACTAGCAAAGGGAGTAGAGTTCCTTCGTAATCATTTTAAAGGACATCGGTCACTTTTAAATGACCTTAGTAAAGGAAGTAGACCAAATGTCAGAGTTCTTTCGTAATCATTTTAAAGGACATCGGTCACTTTTAAATGACCTTAGAAAAGGAAGCAGACCAAATGTCGGAGTTGTTTCGTAATTATTTTAAAGGATATTGGTGACTTCAGTGAAGGATACGGTAACAGCTGGAGAACTTAAACAGTCGTGGTTTGGGTAAAAATAAAATGTCGGACTTACTTTTAAAAGGACCTTGGCCAAGGCCACAGCATTGTTGCCGTGACTGACTACACAAATACGCCTCGCTTAGGGTTTTTTTTTGTCATCGTACGAATATCCATTACGATTTCAATAAACAAACAAACAAAACAAGGAATAAACGTGTGTTCAGCAATTTAAGGAAACAGGAACTCGGCTGAAATTAAGATTAAACGTTCAGCTTAGAATGACACCAAACAGCGCTAAAGACTGGTTCCGAATGACTGAACTACAAGTGACATCGATAGGTGTCGCTTAAAGTCCAGATACTGCAGACTGTGTACGTTACTTCATGGAAATAAAACAGCGTTGTCTCAAGTGTTAAACGAAGTGACATATTTCAATCGGTCAGTCCGTGAAAAAATAATTTCATATTTCGGAGAGGTAGGTCAACATTTTTAATAACCCAAATTAATTTATTGCTTTTCAGAGCACCTATAAAAAAAAGATTTAATCATGCACAACAATTCAAGAATATGCTAATACCCAAATTCGACAAAAATTGAGATGGGTCACATCGTGGTACGATTGACGAATTTAACTTTCAAAGAAAAACAATCTATTTTTTTCAAACCTGTGAAGATAGCGCCTTCGAGGGATAAAAAAATGACAGTGTTCAACGTAGAAAAATATTTTTTTTTTGATCCGTGAAGGCTGTGCCTCGAAGAATTTACCTTATTAATAGCACACGCGGCACAGAAAAAAGCTAGTTAAAAGAACAGTCAGGCACCCTGCAGATTGTGTTCAGTTTAACTTCAGTCACAAATCGCTGGTTTGGCCAACCACTGTCGGCATAATTGCGGTTGGCCTTGAGTACCAAACCAAAACAATAATTCATAAAGTTCGACCCAAAATCTCACATGGATATCAAACTGCAACCTTTGATGGTATATTCAAAATGTTGCCAATTTTCGTAAACAAAACAAGAGTCCCTAGCTTTTCAAAAGTTTCGGCGTTCAAGGGTGCAATGTAAGAAGTTGGGAGCATTCAGCCATGAGGGCGCACTCTCCCCACGTCGGGAGTGAACTTTTCCGTTACAGTAGGGCCTCGCTGTTAATGCAGTTAAATGTGAAGATTTGCATGGTGGACACTGTTATAGCACTGTCACGAAGATTGCGGTAATGTGTAGGCCTAATCTCTTTGCGAATGAGTGTGGTTCTATTAAAACCGGTGCACTCAATGTTTAGGACAGTATGTTGACAAAGCATACTTTATTTGGGCAATTGATAACTAATTAATAACTAATCGATTTAAAGCAAAAACAATTCTTAATCTTAATGCAGTTAATGTGCATCTGTATTTTCAGGAAGTGTGTATTTTTTTTCTTTTAATGGAGTATATGAAGCAGTTTCTGTAATAAAAAATATATATTCATCGGTGAGCTTATTTACCCGTCCTTGCTTCATGATGCAAGCAGCCATATTAATTGAAGTTAGGACCTGGGGAAATTACATGCAGACGGTTTATTTTATGAACAACTAAACTTGGCGTTGATGATTAGCGTGCATTTGTTATAATTCAGTTAAGTTTGAACCGCGTCAATCGGGATAAGCTGCGTGAAACCGTTGAATCCATCTGCACCAAGGGGTGCATGAGGTGAACCTTCTTTGACTAGTTTGAGCCGCTGTTGTTTTTGAGGTCAAGGGTGCCAGACCGTGTGTGCCTGAGGATGGCAATAATATTGCTGGGTAAGTGTTGTTTGAAGAGCCCCCAGGTGGCAGGCGGAGTGCACAAACCGCTGGTTGGACCGTAGAGCAAGGACTGTTCCTTGCTACACGGTTGGACGCAAGATAAGATGTCGCACACGCGGCTCGATGAGCTGAAGAAGTGGTGGGTCGTACGCCATCTCGCACGCCCATGCGTTTTCACTGGCAGGTGCGGTGCATGGTGCGGAAGTGAGAATGAGAAAGGTAGCCTGCGCTCAGTCGCACTTCACAATTTCAGATCTAAACTTCAAGGGTGAGAAACTACCAGCAAAAACCACTTCATGGATAAGGTAAACAAAGTTAGGACATTAGTTCCATAACTGGCTACAGATTCGCAATGTACTTGTACACGTACATGTTCTTGCAGACAACTGTGTTATGCTAATAACCACTCCTTCACAATGTTTTTTGTCCACTTCTGGTTGGCTGATGGTGCAAGTCACTGCTGTAGAACCGCTAGACTTGATGACAAGTCGTTAGATAGTCGCGTTCTGTCCGCAAACACCAGTTGTAATTCATCGGCGCACTGAACTGTACTGTAATCCTGCGGTTGCGATTCGACTCATACAATTGAATTGTCGATCATCCGCAAGTTAGGGATAACGTCCCCGCACAAAGGCAGAAATATGTGCAGACCGTGTAGATCGTGGTGTGCGTGAACAACCCAAACCAATTACCGACTTAGTACCAAGTCTACGGAACCGCCGACTCACGACTACTGCCGCGGCATGCCGGCACGGTGCAACAGAGAACTGATCAAGTGGAAGAGCGACGTAACTTCATTGCTGTTGATCTACAATTCTGGCAACAAGTGCCCGGCTCAACCTGAAGTAGGGGTTCTGTTCGCTCCAACATTACCACATATTTCGGCGTATATGCAGCAGACAATTCACATGCTAACGCATAAACACTGCCCTGCATAAATTCACAGGACCACGTGAAGGCACGTTGGCAGTTAAAAGAGTTAATCATTCCATATTCACTTCTGGAGTTGAAAGCGAGCCTGGCATATCGTCCACCGTGCCTAGCAGTTTTGACACACGGGATCCCCCAAGCTTAGTGTGCTCATAGAGCCCCACATTCCATCCATCAAGTGCCTTTTACGAACTGGCCTTTTCACAAGTCACCGCTGTCCAAGCTAGCTGCCTGCAGTGCATGAGGATTAATATCATCGGTAAGCTGAAGATTCCCAATCGTTTGCCTACCCGTATCGTGCGCGGAAAATCAACGCTCCATCGCCGGGCTGAAAGTTACTTCTAGTTGACAAAACTTACCCGGCCAAGATGTTACTTTCTTCGGTTTCCGTTTTGCTGCTACTCGTTTCTGGCGTGTGTAGTCAAGGGTAAGTGAGCTCTTCATTGTAAACAGCATACTTGACATGGAGTAGTATTAACAAGTAACATATTTACCTATATTATGACTAAGTGTGAGCAAATAGCAAGGGTTGGGCTTATCGAGTTCCTTCTTGAACGCCGAAGTCTGTGTACAGCTCCAGGTGAGTGAATTCCTCCTAGTCCTACGGTAGGTAACTGGCTTCGAAGTTCTGTTGCATTCGGAGAAATTCTTGAGACTCTTTCCTCTCGTTCATGTGGATTTTGACACTATTCGGAGACTGGCTCCAAAAAGTTTATCCAACTCTTGAATTAGCCTTGTTTGTTTCAAGTATAATCTTACATTCAATAGAAATACTTAAAGGCCTATTAGAAGTAGTATTTTCAACAAGAGAAGCAAGGTGTATTTAAGTAAATAATTAGAGCTGTAAGTCTAATATTTGTTCTTTGACACTGGCAAGGCGCTGAGAAACACGGCGAAAAAAATTTAATTGACTAAAAAGACTTTGAAATTGTTCATAACTTTTTATTGCGGAATCGATTCTGTGATTTATTAGCGTGCAAACGTACAGCAACTAGAAGATGCCGTGTTTTAAAATTGGTATCCTGTCGCAAAACTGTTTACTTTCGACAACAATGGAGCCAAAAGAGAGGACTTTCGTTTCCCCACTCGCCTTCCACACATTGTCTTGGTATATCGTGTTGTTTTGTACCTGGGGATCGCATTGCATATTCTTCAGTTTTCGCGCTGTGGTAATAGAAATGGTCAAAATCACTTGTATATATATATATTTTTAAATCGTCAACATAACGGCCAAGCAGAGAATGCTCTACTATAAAGAATTCGATGAAACTCTACGGATAAACCCAAGGGTCTATCTAGAAACCAATTCCTGGGAGAAGTTTTTGTTGGAAGCAACAAACATTTGGAAATTTCATCATGAAATCTGTTAAGGCCTCTCTGAGGAGGACGGCTAAATTTTGGGGGTACATTTTGTGCGCATTTGGAAAGAAGAGAAGTCCGCGAATTCTTTTTCGTTTTTTCCTCTCTCTCTCTCTCGTCATTTTTCATTGAAACAAATTTTGCTTGTGTTGTGAGGGGCCAAGGTTCCGTTACCCCCTAAAAGCGTTCGTCCTCGCAGCGTCAGAGTTTGCGAGTAATACCGAGGTTTAAACGATTCACTGACTTCGACAAGTCAGAACTCCCCCAGCCCATGCCTATCCGTGACCTGACTTGCCACCACATGACTGTTATGACTACTGAGTGGTGTAAATCAGCCCTTGAAACTGAATCCGCGGAACGAAACATCGCGCCAGAAAAACCCTAGGGTAACTCCCACTCAATCAAACTAAACGAAGAACTTGCAAGAAGGAATGTTTGCTGGGAGGACAATTCAAGAGCTGCATTTCAGATTTTCTAAATGAGAGTACTGTTTACTTTCCGCATTTTTCAGGTAGTGTTGTTTCTATGTTTAGATTCTAACTGCTTGGGAATTGTAGTGCTTTTGTACAGTGTTGCATGGGGGGTCCCACAGTGCATGTATAAGTCGGAGGTCTCGCTGCTCATTTAAACTGGACTCTCCAGCGGAATGTACAGCCTTATGTGTCACGCCGGAGACTCCAAATTTCGTTACTTACTGATCGATTCTTTCCGAGGGGTTAACCCCGTCAGAAGTAATTGAGGGAAGGGAAAACGGCTTTAAAATCTCTTTCACTCAGTCATTTGTGACCGTCGGCCTTGGGGTGACTCGCTCCTCAAGCTAGACTTGCTCAGTGTCGTGCGCCTCGTTCCCTCGGCCCGGTTGGAGTGGGGCCCTTTACTGTTCTCCTTCAACCAAGCTTGTCTGAGCGCACGTACATGTACATCTATAATCCCTTGTTAGTTGTATTATAATAAACGATGGGGAGGGGGTACATCACAATGTACACCAAGTTGGACTGGACTCGAGTTTGCGAGGCTAATTCAGACGTAGTAGGGCAGAGCCCCTGGCATATGGCATTTCCGTGAGAATTAACATGAGCGGGAGGCTTGGAAGTGCAAGCCGGACCTTGGAGAGATGTCACACTATTTTAAACGTGGTAACACCAATATCGTGGTGGGTTGCTTGGGTATGGTTAGGTCAATTGAAAAGCTTGGCCCATCGTTTTTGATCTTTTGCTGCCTACATGGGAGCCTCGCAGAATGAAGAAGACCTGAGCAGGCGGATTTTGTTGGAAGTGAGCAGTGAAGAATGTCATGAACTCACAGCAAATGGTTTTAGGCCGGTCCGCTCCCGATGCCGCTGAAAATAGAATCGGCCCCGGACATGCCGGAACATACTTGCAATTTCTCGGGCGTCCGGACCCCTTCATAACTCCTCGTGTCTAAAGTATCTGAAGTGTTTCTCCGTTCATCGAATTCCTTGAAGGACCCTTCCGATGACTGAAGATTCACCTTTTCTTTACTTCACCATAAATACTCTGTTTCATTAGTCGATAGTTTCTTCGAAGGCTCCGCTGTCATCGACTGCAATAAAGATCCAACTGCATAAATAAACCGCCTGGGTCCGCTGGGCACCACTTGTCCAAATAGTCATCTGTGACATTATTATTTATTAACCCGGTGCGACTCAGTGAGACTTGGGTAGCGAAGATGGAAAACATTGACACTCAGTAATATGGAATCCAATTGGTCAAAGCTTTCCAAGTCCTGGTGAAATTTGGCGACATCGATATGTTTTTCGTTCTTTGAAATGTATTAATACATATTATCTTTTCTGTGAAGCCGAAGAAAAGAGAAGGGGTTGATCTTGAATCGAATGGTGCTCGAGAGAAATGTCATTTTAGTTTATGGAAGCTCGGATAGCAGCTAACACATACACATGAAAACAAGGCATGGATGAAACAGAAATATATATAACCATGGAGCTCTTGGAAGCTTGCCAAGACCAACATAATCAGGTCCCTGGGCAGACAATTATTAGAAACAGACCTCTATGGTACGTACAGGGTCAAATCACCAGTAGGGATGTGTGAAAAAATGCTTGAAATTTTGTTCGACTGAAGGAAAGAGAAGTGACACTGATTCTTGCATTCCCGTCCCTGCCTTCCGTAGTCCTGGCTGAGAACTGCATAGATTTTAGTTCCATGCAAGGCTGTTCCATGGTCAAGAGTGATTATTATTAACAAGGGGTCTTGGCTCCACAAGTTTTCTGGAATTTACTGATGCCAGCCAAACATTGTCTTACAGATCACGAATCATTGGACGTCGACCAGGGGTTCCCAATCTGTCGAGGCCTGTTACGGGCGGAGGAACGGTTGGGCTTTGCAAGTTCGGCCGGAGCCAGTACGGTTGCTGCTACGGCTGGAAAAGAAACCACTTTGGCGGTTGTTCACGTGAGTACCTACGTCATTTGGGGCCATTACATTAGACGCTTCTAAAGTCTATGTCAGCAGGCCGAGAATACACGTGTAATGTCTTACCCCCTTTTAACCAACTTTATAATGTTTAAACTTTGCCACTCTGACACATGCTTTGCACCAGAATGACCGATTGCAGTTCGTTGCGTTCGTATCTCCTTAGCCTTTTTCCCCTACATGTTTGTCAAAAGCGATTCTTCACTAAAGTACTCGAACGTGACTTCCTTTTCCAAATACTTTTAACTTTTAATATGGTGAAAGCAAATGAGCACCTCATAGAATTCGGTAATACCAGACCGTAGGGCCTATCTCAATCCTCGAAATCTCCAAATACAATCTTTGCACGGAACCCCAAAGTTCTTTGCTCATCCAGGATCAACTTAGTACTATCGTAGTCTGTTTGTCACTTGCATGCAGAAACGCTCTCCCACGTCAGCCACTTTGTAGACGTGGGTGGCTGTTATGTAAAGCTTCTAGAGAAAAAAGGGCCCAAGAGAAAGTTGAGGCTTCCTGGAGGAAGTGAAACGGGCTTATTGCCCTGTTGGAGGAAGTCAGCCACTTCTTTTACTAGTGTGCGTGATAACTTGGACAAAGATCACGACAGAAGGAGGAAATGCCAGTTTTAAATCAGTTATCATGTTTGCTACTTCACGCGAACCTCTGCAGAGGAGAGCCAGGAATCTGTTTCATCCCAATTCGCCCTTTTCTACTAGTGATTCATTAATATTTTTGGCGTGGAGAGGATTATCGAGGTCTATGGAATAGACACGCGTCGCGTGAGCAGTGTTGAACGGATAATAATTATTAGTCCAAGTTCATCTCATGCCTTGAAAGAAATAAACCATCCTGAAAAAAATAGATTTGGAAGCGTTGCCTTCAGGTAGTTGCTGGTTTTGAAGTACAATCTGCTAACACTTGAAGCGTCACCGTTGATAGACTTTTTAAAGAAGAGATTCGGGGCTTTGTAACTCGCTGCCTCGAGCATGTTCACCTTAGGATTTGACTTTTCCCGGCCAAGTTTGCCCTGCATGCCATAGAGCCTATTTGAACTGCGGGTTCAGCTGACAAATCATCCAAAGGGACAACCCCCTCGGGCCAAACTTCGTATTCTTTGCCCCACGTGCGACACTTTCTAAAATAAACTTGATCTTGTGTTTTAACGGGCAACTTTACCCAACGACGGCTGTTTTGTGTTTGACCACGTCCATTCCAGTGAAAGTTTCTGTTATAATCTGAGATGTCAGGCTATGGACACCGATAAAGGTCTGCAACAGCTTTCAAAATCATTCTTAAGGTTAAAAATGGGATCACTGACACCCTGTTCATTTACACTGTCACCTTTGTAGCAGCTATGAACAGGTCAACTAATGCGGTTCCAGAGAATTGGTACCGATGATTTCGTCCTCAGCCAATGTGAAAACTTGCAGCTCGTGCTAGGTCACGCTAGTGACATCGTGCGGTAACTGTGCTTGGCAAGGTGTCTGGGAATGAGACTACAAAATGATTTAGTGAGTGGTATAGAAACTTGGCTTGCTTGGGTTGACAGTCTCGTCTGCCGGGCACGCCTAAAAAAAAGTGACATGCGTAGGCTTTTAACTTCATGCGGGAAACGAAAGTAACCACTACCCGTGTGTAAATGAATTCCCATCCAAAAAAGCTGGGGTAAATTGCTTCCTTTGGGGAAAGGAAGAGGGAGATGGTATGTATGCAGCCTTGCATCAGGTGGGGCATGGGTTAAGGCGGACCGTCAACCATGACCGTCGCGACTCGTGTGCGAATATTGCTGCCACTGTAGACAAAAACTTGCAGCCGTACCAAACCCAATCGAGTGGGCCTCCGCCGTAGCCAAGTGTTTTACCCGTCGTCTGGAGGGCACGGGCTGGCCAACTGGTATTATTTTGTTCCCAGGCAATTCGCGACATCTGGTTGTGGCCTCGCGTCGATGAGAAACACCAGTAATCGGTTTTGGCAACGTTTTGAGGATGAATTATCGCGTTTGTCCATGGTTGTATTGAACGCCTTTTTGCCCATTTGGAGACTTATTTTTTGGTCGTGTGTGTGCATGCATTAAAATTACAGTTTTGAGAGTACTCGGATTTTGATGGGTTCTAAAAATCATAGCCCGGCGATTGTACGTACCTACCGGTACTTTTCCATATTGTCAATGGATCTTTTCGTTTCGTCGCAAATGTTCCTTTGTCCCGTCTAGTCACGACCTCGTTTGACATGATCTTTTTTTTTTGGCAAAGTCTTCATTTTTTCCCGACGGATTACTCAGTGAAATTTGACCGCATATTCGAAACTACACTCAGCTGCAACATCGAAAGCCTCAAAGTGATATTTTGTCACGTCATAGAGGAAGGGTCACATTCGCGCAGTATCATCGGTCACCACGCGCGCCCAGCTGTTCTGGCGGTGACAGTCCCAGGCGCATTTTTGGCCATCACCTGTTCTTGGTCGTGTGAGCAATCTTTCTGTCGACTGGTAGTTGGTTACAGTGCACTTTAAACCACGTGCCACGTAAGCAGGTGCTGATCTCTTGTCGCGCCCATTGCTCAGGGGGGGAGGGTCGTCTGTTGGCCCCCACCTAATCTCAAGTTAGAAAAATCCAGAAATACAATCAATTGAAGCACTTTACTAAGCGCGCAGGCCTCTCTATTTACCGTTTCAATCTGGTTGTTGCCTTGAGTTTTAGACTGCTGAGATGATTTATAGATACATAAAACTCTCCAACACCCATACAAAGCAGAAGGTTAAGATAAAATGGTGGCGATTCCACGTAGAAGGGGCGATGACCACGAGAACTCGGTCTTTTTCAGCTCCTATCTTTTCCTACCCGATGGTTATATTTGATACGCCAAATTAATAATTTCATCACGAGTCCGCGACCGACATATAACCCTTCCCTGTGTAGAGAATTATCCTGTGGATGGTTCTTTTAGTCTGAAGCCCCAGATAATTGAAGTATTAAAAGGTCTCACTTTTGGGACTATCTGAAAGAACAACTGCATAAGCTTTCGTAGTATCTACTACTTCATCAAATGCGATGGAGATAAAACATCATCATCGTCTAGTGTGGGTGCAGTCAAGCATGTCAAAAGATTTGTATGACTCAAAGCTGAATATAGTGTGACAAGGAAGCCACTCTTCCTATAGAGTCCAGCCTCAATGCAGCCCAGTCTCTGGACGATCTTATGTTCCTCGGCTTATCTCTACATCCTGGTCTTGCAACCTTTTTGTTCGAGTACAGCAACTTTCCAA